ATGTATTTATATGTAAAATAAAAGTTTGTTAAAATGACCCTTATTATGTAATTCGTTTGCCCCCAAAGTCCCAAACATATATAGTTAACCGTTAAAAACATTTAAAAACATATTCTGATCAGCTTTACTGATCACTCCATCACTTATTTATAGGTATATAAGCGATGTTTGTGTATATGTTAGCCCACAAACACATCAATGACATATATGAGCCAAATGGCAGATGCATTGACCACTTCTGACCACTTCCTACTGAAAGCTCATCAGTAGTCGAGTGTACGAGTAGTTTATAATAACTTCTATAAGAGATATAACAGTAATATTTAAGTTAAAGGATTGCGAGAGAGAGAGAGCAAACTATTGCAAATATTGTATGGCTATTAAAAGGGAATTTTTTAGACAATAATTATTTTCGTTTGCATTTGAAGTTAAAATAAATTAAAGGAATAGAGAAAGAGATGATTTATATAAACAGTTGTTTGGTATCTAAAAACCAAATTAAATGTATAAATACATAAAAGGGAAAGTAATTTGCAATTTACTTTTGTCTCTAATTTAGATGATTTTGTCTCTAAATTAGCCATTAGTTTAGATAAATAGTTTTTGTCTAAATTACCACTTTTTTGGTACGGAATGGAAAAATACTTAAAATTAAGAGAACAGCGAATAGAGGACTACTGAAAATGTAATCTCAATAATGTCTTTACATGTAATGTGTGTACAAAAGTCTGTGTCTGACTTCAGAGATGCGAAAACAACAAAAACACTCCTTTAATACTCGGAAACAAAAACACAAAAAATATATATTTGAGAGATAAGTGAAAGTGTAATATATGTTTCGCATGCAATACAGCGTTCATTACTTATGTTCGTTAGTATTGGAGCGAAACTTATCCAAAAAAGCAAAGAAAAAGTAGCCAAACATTGGCTGAAGAGAGAGATCCCTCGCATCTCTCTCTCTCTCTCTCTCTCTCTCTCTCTCTCTCTCTCTCNGAGAGAGAGAGAGAGAGAGAGAGAGAGAGAGAGAGAGAGAGATCCATCGCATCTCTCTCTCGCTGGCAGAACATAGCCGTCGAGAGAGACGACACACAACAGACATATGAGAAGAGGAGGAAAAGGCATGGAATGAGGATTGAAGTGGCGTTTGGTTTCGTTGGATGGATCGGGCGTTCAATTCGCTAAAATGCTTTTCCCTTATGTTTAGTAGAGTTTGGATGTGAAGCCATTTGTTTCCATTAATGTCATCCATAGAGAAGACACCCTTAAGTGACGCAAATGATTATTGTCTTGTCTTTTGCCAAACACAAGACCGAAATACTTGTTCACTAAACTCCACACCACTCTCGCAATCCTTTAACTTAAATATTACTGTTATATCTCTTATAGAAGTTATTATAAACTACTCGTACACTCGACTACTGATGAGCTTTCAATTGCTTCACTGAGAAAAAAACTTTTGCTCTCTTATAAAACATTTTAATTTCTTATACTTTTATTTACTGTTATTTATCTTTTGTCTTAATTTTCTTATGATTTAATGTTTCAATTTATTACGAAAATTATTGATTAAGAAATTAAGGTTTCGTTTTGAACGATAAATGAGATTTTTCTCCTCTCAATGAGTAGCGGAATCTCAAATGAATGAAGTTATGAATCCTTATGTCATCTCCACTTCAGTCCACATCAACTTAAATATTATTTATTTTATTTTCAAATATAAAATACCATTTTTTTTATAACAAATGCTTTTAAAATATTTTGATAATTCAAACGGATATTTGCAAACAAAAAAAGGTCAACGAAATTAAAGATATCGTTCGTTAATATGAAATGCACTTTATTTTATTGCATTTAGAGAATGGATGTATTGGGTGTAGAAATTAATTTTGTTAATTAACAAACATTATGAAAATTATTTCGATGTAAAGCACCAAAAGACTAATCATCGCAAGAATTAAAAATTTCGTGTCGATTGCGAATCAATTAGAGAAGAGAAAGAGTGAGAAAAGTGTGTAACTATTATTTATCATGAATTTAAACAAATAACTCATTCGTCGAGAACTCTATAAACATTTTGTTTGTTTTCTGGCAAATGATTTAAATATCATACCATTCATTGTCTTTTCGGGATTAGTTTTGATCTCTTTAGCTGACGGTGTGTTTTGTTGATGAAGCTGTTGAGCGACTGCTGATGCGGTGGAATCAGGCTTTTGAGTGCTGTGTTGACTGCCATTCGCAGCGCTTTCCAAATTACTCGACGATTGATTATTACCGCCGGCGCTGCCGTTGTTTGCGCTCCCATTGCTTCCATTGCTCCCATTCTGACTGCTGTTGGAATTACTAGAGCCCGATGTCTGACCCGAACCACTCTTTTGCTGATTCAGGCGCTCCTGCTTTCGGAACTTTGCTCTTCTGTTCTGAAACCATACCTAATATTTCATACATTTTTGAAAAATATTTTTTTGTTAGATTTTGTTATTTTATTTTTGACTTTCAAATAGTGTTTGTGTTTTTCATGTATTGATTATTAAATAAAAGCGAAACACAGTGTATGTGTCAACTCGTCATCGATTTTGTTTGTTGTTCAACACATTAACGCATAGCTATTATTATAATTCATTTCTATTGCCATTTAGCGTACAATTGAATAAATCTTATTAGAAATCTAATTAAATAGTTATTAGCAGTCATTCTTTGCTTTTATACAAGTATTCATATAAATAGCGCTAATCTTTGGTTTGCATTACTATTGCCTCATATAAACAATCTCTTACTCTAATATTTAATTAGATTAAGACTTAATTTCATTTTCTGATCAATTACTGAACTGAGGCCACGGGTCACGAACTCAGACAACCTATCGCTCGTCATTCGCCATAAAAATACAATAAAAACCAAAATAAATAAATTAATTAAAATTTATAAAATCAATTCCACTCTTTCATCGCATAATTAATATAAGAAAAGTAAACTCTTTAACGAATAACTTATGCCATTAGAAAATACCACAGCTATATAACGATCAAATACTGTAGTTTATACTGTTTATCATTCTTGAAGTTTATTATTAATGTTATAATGAGAGAAAATGATAATTTTTATATTGTTTTTTCATTCACTCAATGCTCACACTTTAGGACTTTTTATGAAAAGAATACATAATATGAATGGAAATACAATGAAAGGCGAAAAATCTCCGCTTAAAGGCATTGGAGATGAGAGGAGAAGAAAATGAAATGTAATGAGAGCTCAAAGTGACGCTCAAATTTAGCGGAACGCCCGACAACTCTCTTCCCATTTGGTTCGCCTGTATATCATATACAACAATATTGTGTCACCAGTCTCTCTCTCTCTCTCTCTCTCTCCCATTCAGTGGTAGTGTATTGTGAGTATAGATTCAAATTAAGACCTATAAGTTTGATCATAATTTTACTGTAAACATGAAAATAATTTTTCTTATTTTTCATTCATTAAATCGTTAATTCATTTCTACACAGAAATTGATGGAAGTTTTCTTTTCTTATTCTAACATCAAATCACTTCCAATTCACAAGTCTTGCCCTCAAATCTATACATTCAACTCAACCCTCAATTCATTTCCTTTTTATCTCATTTCTTGATTTTGTGAATAAATTTTGTAATTTAAAGAAAATCGTTGCAGACATGCAAAGAAAGGCATGAATTTCTTTCAAATTATTTATTCAAATTTTCGTCAAATTTAAAATCTTTTTATTTATTCATTTCTGTTGATTGTATGGATTGGTGTTGTGAGCAAAGTGTTAGGGATAGGCATATGTATGGCATATGTGTAATGCCTTTATTCAATTTTAGTGAAGTGTTGATAACTATATCTAAATACAAGTGTATATATAAATACAGTGGAATGAATATATAAATATTGAAAGTTGTCCACCTGTTCCCCACCACCGACTCCCGTAATACTCAATCCCGGCGCTAATCCGCCGCAAACGGGAGGACTGTTTTGCAAACCAATAATAATGACTGAACACTGAATTTTGAGTTAAATTTTTTTGTATGCGTTTATTATGTCTTTACTCTCTGTGTGTTTGCAAATAATAATCACTGTTTTATGAGTGAAATACGCTTATTGTGTGCATTGTATTAAGCAATTCGGTGTTCACTCTATACGGAGACTAAACCACTACTAAATAATAAGAGTAAATCCATTCAACAAACAGTACAACACAGTGACAGCGATGGCCACAATTGGCCCTATAGTATGTACAGTAGACTGTGTTGGACATCACAGACATGGTATACATATACTGTATATACAGGGAAACACTGTTAGAATACACATTGAATAGTGTATAGCAAGTGGATGGAGTGGAGGCGACCATCTGCCACAGCGATGAGCCCCCAGTATTGCATAGCATTGCACAGGCATTGCCAGCCAAACAGTCAAACCTCTACTCCAACACATAATCCCTCTCTCCCGGTGTCTATATATTTATATTTTACTTTCACTTCACTTTCACTAGTGTTTAGATCTATTGATTCAATTGGCATCACGTCTTTTGGCAGTAAAGGTATCCGCAATACTATTGCCATACAATCACACTATTGCTACAAATTATGCTATTTTTCCACTTTTTATTAATATTTCTTTTTTCACTGAATCCTAACGAATAGTATGTTTAGAGGAATAGACTTGACTTGAGTTACAAAAGGAAATCGATTGACTAATAAATTATTTAATACTCACACAAAGTATTGAATATTTCTTTATGTAAGAGATGCTCAAGAGAGAGAGAGAGAGAGAGAGAGAGAGAGAGAGGGAGAGAGGGAGAGATGTGAAGAGCATAGCATATATTTTAAATGTGTTTCCAAATATGAGAGACTCTTTGGTTTTCCTATTGTCATAAGTAGTGAAAGTCATTCATGTATTTTGTGTCGCATGCGATGCGTGTCCAACACGTGCACATGAATTGACTCACTTTTTATGCTTAATTTAATTGAAGTAACATTTTTTAAAATCCGATAAATCATTCAAAAATGTTTATATTTTTGATTATCACTTTGGGATTATTATTATATGTGTTGTTTTCTCCGATCATTCAATTTGTTATTTATATAATGTTCATACAGTTATTCAGTATATTCTGTTTGTATATTTTCTCTCCAAACACAACAATATGTTTCCCTCTCTTTCTCTGGCATTTGCTTTTGAAAAATATATTTTATAATTTTTTATATATTTATTTTTTCAATACTATTCAATCTGACAAAAATGATACAAAAATCAATTCGTTTTCTCCCACTGAACACAGAAATCATTGAGTTTTCTCTCCAAAACCCGTAAACAAATTGAATTCAATAACAAAAAACAGAATTATATGTTATGTTCACAGAATAGTGTAATAAAGTGTATGTGTATTGCAGTGAAATATCTTTTACGGAAACAAACCTTACATTTTTCTTATATGGTTCTCTCTCTCTCTCTCTCTCTCTCCCATTCAGTGGTAGTGTATTGTGAGTATAGATTCAAATTAAGACCTATAAGTTTGATCATAATTTTACTGTAAACATGAAAATAATTTTTCTTATTTTTCATTTATATAATGTTCATACAGTTATTCAGTATATTCTGTTTGTATATTTTCTCTCCAAACACAACAATATGTTTCCCTCTCTCTCTCTACGCTATAAATAAGATTAAAGTAACTCTAATGTCGCAAATCGTACCGCCCTTTGCATTACTACTACGACAAAGCGGTGGCAGTGTTGGGCACCTGTATGTCATGGAGTGCACCGCCAGTTCATAATTCATTCATCGGGTTTTTACACACATTTTGTAATAGAGAATGAGATTTAAGTTTTTATTTACTATACATTTAGTGTATATATTGTTAAATCGAGTGAAATATCAAATCTGAGCTCATCTTAACTTAATATTTGATTTATAGATTCCTTTATAATAAGAGTTAACCAAAAAAATAAGATAAGAAGAAAATTAAATAAATAACTGAATAAAAAGCAATGAATTCAAGCTATTTTATTATGTTATAGAAGTTAATATAATAAAAGTTATTATGTATCGTATTTTATTGTTCTTCGGGTTTAATTTAATAAAAAATTTCCGCTAAATTTATTTATTATGCCTTTAAAGTCAATATATTAAGAGCCAAAAGAGATGAGCCAAACATTAAACGCGAGAACACCTGCACTCCGAACACCACATATGACTCTACAAAATGATGTGATGATTATTATAGATAAACAGCTCTCCTTTTGCTCTTCTTATATTAATATAGTTATTCACTAAATAAGTGAATTCATAGCAATTATTATTAATCATTTTTCGTATAACTTTTTCTATACACTGTATAACACACTATCACTAAAAATCCTGTTCATGCTTAAAACGGCTGCTAAATTAACTCTAAATTATTTTCAATTTAGCTTAAAGTTTAAACGAAAAACACTTTTTTCAGACATGTATTGTTGTTATTGTTCTCGACTTGAGTTTAATATATTTTTTGGAGAGTTTTTCATTTAAATAATTATTTAATACATTAGGGAAACCATTAAAAATGGCTATCAGATGAAGAAGCGAGCAGTTAGTGTGGCATTTAGTGAAGTGCTATTATATGGCATATGTATTGTTCAGAGCACAGGCAACAACTCAATTGTGTGTTCATTCATATTGAATGGTGTGTTTGGATGGAGAAAGAGAGAGAAAGTGAGTGAAAAAAGTGCACCGACTCTCGCATTTTGCTCTTACTTTGATTATAATAAGTGCAGTCATTGCCAGTCATTGCCTGCAATGAATGCTTTCAAATATGCTCTCTAAATATGAACGGATCGTCCAGTTATTGCTGTTTTTGCTACTCATTGCCCAAAAGTCCCTCTATTTTGGTGATAGTAATGTAGGCCTGCCTTTAGATCATAAACTGTATATTTCCTCTTCGCTTGTGATGCTCTTCACTAACAGAATTGAAATATAGCTTTTGATAGCCTATTGAACACTGTTTTTGTATAGCATTCAAAGGATGTCACATCAATAGTAAGACACAGTCGGGTGCCTTAATCGGCGTTTCACTTGCTATGACCACACAATACAACACAATAACAATACCGATTGAATGGATAAATATATAGTGAATTGCAATGAAATACATAATACTCGGCACGGAGTGTGAAACGAGCGACACATACGTCTGATTTGCATTTCACTGATCACTCCATCACTTATTTATAGGTATATAAGCGATGTTTGTGTATATGTTAGCCCACAAACACATCAATGACATATATGAGCCAAATGGCAGATGCATTGACCACTTCTGACCACTTCCTACAAACAAACACTCATTAAAGTCCATATTTTAGTTTCTGTCAGCTTTATGTAAGCCTGCGATCAAACTTCATGCCACTAAACAAAGGCCCAAACCATTGCCACAACACATAAGTGCTGTACATTATCCTAATTGCATGCCATATAACTTGCATTCATTTGTCATCTTATCTAATACTTAAGCAAATAAATCATTTAAATCTAAAATAAAATATCATTTAAATTTAGTCGAAAATAAATCTATTCATTCAATATGTTTTCAATAAACAAATCCATTAGTTGTTATAACAATTATATTAAAACACTATATAAATGTTCAGTTCATTAGATAAGAAAAGTTGCTTTTCTTTGGTTTAATTATTGAAATAAGAAATTGTGCTATAAATGTGTGTATTTTTATATTCATGATTTGTATGCATAGTAAATGTCTGGCAGTGACTGGCTTTGCGTAATATCATAATATCGTAATTATTAATTTCCATATGCTTTGAAAAATGAGAGAAATAATAATTACTATTAATATTTTATTTGTTTATCCATTAATTCATAACTCATTTTTTGCGACTGTTTTTGGTAATCAAAAACTATACCCGTTTTCTCCCGTTTCTCGCATATAATAATCATTTTTTGTTTCATTAAATAAAATTAACTTTTTTTGTTGTCTGTATTTCTCTACAGACGAAACGATAAAATAAAGTGTCTTTTGAAAGAGAAATAAGTGAATGAATTGTTTGTATTTTCATTGAATTTTACATTGAGTTTGTGTTGAATTGATGTTCAATTTTATTGATTTGATTTGCAATCAAATTTGTGAAGAAAATTCAATTCAAAACTTATAGCCTCGAGCTATAAGTCTGAGAGAGAGAGAGAGAGAGAGAGAGAGAGAGAGAGAGTTGATTGAAATGTTTTGATTTGTGAGTTTTAAAACATAGAGTATATACATAAAAGTGAAATTTAAGAGAGAAATATCTTATTTTGATTAAATATCTGTGTTTTGGTGCAAAAACAAGTGCTCTGTTATAAAAATCAGACTTAAATAAACATAACATTGTATTTAACGTATGAATCAAACACACGAACAGTGAGTTAATTTGCATTGAATTCTCATTACTTAACACTCAATGAAATGCAAATGTAAAGTAAAGAGTAAATGATAAATAAGTTTCAGACAGAAATTGAAAAATGCGTTCAAAAAATAATGCTTTCATTGCTTTCATTCCTAACTTAAAACATATGCAAAAAATTGAGTTCAAAAGTAAATAATAATTTGTTTTGAGTGAAGAACTTGTCATTTATAACGACTGATGCGATAAAATTGATCTCTTTTTTAGTGATCGGAATCTAAGCCAACAATTATTGCACAGAAATAATGGTTTTGATTGAAAACGATTACAGAATTTGTTTGTATTGTAAGAATACAATAGATTTACATAGAAGTACACGTGACCGAAGAAGTCGTTTCCGAGAGAGAGAGAGAGAGAGAGAGAGAGAGAGAGGTCGTGTGTTTGGAGGGGAACTATTGGGAAGTGTTGTGTCCGGAGTTTGTGTCCCAATACACAACACGTGACGACAAGACTCGGAAACTCGCAATCATGTAATGAAGGGTTCGCTCTTGTATTTAATGTCACTCTATTTCGTAACACATTTTTATCGATAAGCAATACATCAGTGTTTTATGAATGGCGAGCGACGCGTGTTTGTGGGCCCGACTCAGCCGGTGGTGTGGCTGTCGAGCACTCGGCAGCACAACATCTGTTCAAATATGTATTTCATGCGACACTTTCTCATTGCCCGACATATCCTTACCTGAACTCTGGCTTCCGTCAGATCGGTCTTCATAGCGATCTCTTCGCGGGTATAGATGTCCGGATAGTGGGTCTCCTGAAAGGCCCGCTCCAACTCTTTGAGCTGAGCCGACGTGAATGTTGTCCTAATTCTCCGCTGCTTTCGCTTCTCCGTAAGCATACCGTCGTGTCCGGGAGTATACATCTTATAAGGCAGACCTGTGACCATACATTGCAAAACCACATGTTAGCGCAATCTTTCATTTGCTTTTTACCCCAATTTAATTCTTGTTTTAGAGAATTTATTTTAAATACAATTTTCTATGATTTTTGATTTAAGAAAATAATATGAACTAAATTTTTTGATTGCAAAATAGTGCCGAAAAACATGCGCTTAAATGGAAATAAAATGAGAATTTAATAGAAATGCAAATAAGACTTACTCTGCAAACCCATGGAAGTGGGAAATACCGGTGGAGTGGCGCCCATCTGATGGTGACTATTGATGGACATTCGGGAACCGGTGATCATAGCGCCGGCCGCCGAGACGGGTGTGGATCGCATCTGCATCGGCGCCGCCGACGGCTGGTATCGGGGATACTGTGGCGAACACTGGCCGCCGAGGTCTGGATAAGAACATGCTAATTGACACGATGATAATCCAGACGGATCCATCGATGATAAAGAGCATGCTGTGTCGAAGCCTTGATTAAGATATGAATAATCCATAGTTTGTTTGATGGCGTGAATGCAATGAATGATCAAATAATATATAACTTAATAAAAGGACAAAATTTCATATAAAGTCACTTTTTGTTCTCCAAACTCAATGTTTGGTGAGTGAGAGAGTATGCGATGCACTATAGCTATAGCTGTGGATCTATAATATGATGATAGTATGAAGAGCTCCTCCCTATTGATCCCTCGAAACACAAGCACCACATCTATGCGAATGCTATGCAATGGTCGAGCCCTACGAACGCGGAATCCAAACTATAATTTAGTCTACAGTCGCCTCCCTTTTGGGTAATACTTGTTATCCAAATACCGTTCATATATATGGCACTCAAACGCAACTATTTAGAGATACAGAGAGTACAGACTTGTATAGAGCTTTTGGATAAGGGATCGGATCAGTCGATTCCTCCATCCACTAGACTGTAGTCTCACAAATGATTGCTTCAAGATTTTGCAGCCATTTTTCTTACTTTAATTTTTATATAAATAATTATCTTTTGAATCAATGAAATGAACGCTTACTTCAACTCAAATAAATAGTTGTCTAAAAATTATTTTTAAATAGACTTTCTCTCCAAAACTATATAGAAAAATATTATCACATAAATTAGTTTTGATTTATTAATTATATCTTAATTATAAATTTTAATTAACATTGAAATTAATATTTAACAAATTAATTAATTAATTATTGGTTTTTAGAATTAAGATATATTTAAAGTGATTTAATTTACTTAATTGGCAAATTTTTAAATAAATAATTAAATTATTTAAATTGATATTTAAATTGAAAAATGTGGATTTAATATAATATACGGCATAACCAAAGCCTCAAACTTGAAACCAAATTATAAAGATATTGTGAGGTCTTGTAAATAAAGATCTACACAATAGCTTAAGTAAATTGTGATCAATAAGTAATATTATGTTAATTCAAATCTATATTAAGTTATCAAATATTGAATACACATTAATGTCTATAAAATTTAAATTTGACAATAAATCAGTTTTAATGCATTTTTTATAGTCGATTGCGAGCCCACTATAGCATACAACTGGTTCCGCAAATACAAAATACTGTACATTATATGATAAGTTGTCAAAAAAGCAAATGATTTATTAGTGTATTAATTAGATGTGACGAATGAATTGAAGGTACCCCTGATTATACCCCGATTATACCGTCCAAACATTACATTTTTCTCACGCACTGACAGTCCGTCACTAATTTGTACGGCTTTTGTCGTCATATTTAAGATGAAAACGATTTTCAATTCACAATTCAATTGTAGAGCATATCTGATGTATAAGCGCTTCAATTGTGTGGGGAGTGAATGGCAATGCATTCCTATCGTTATATTTAATCAAATGTATTGATTGTGAGTCCGTTTGGACACCACTTTCATGAATATTCACGACAATTGCTTCACACAAATCAATTCTTTGCCTCCAATTTGTTGTTTCTCTAAATATAAATAACAATTTTGCCGATAATTTAATCGATTCGCAAGACATGCCTATTATAACCATTGTTAACACGAATACGTGTGAAAATATAGTATTGGTTGTAATTTTCCTAATCTTTTCATCAATTAGATTATGTTTTTCGACCAATGATTGAGACATTAAAGCCATTACACGGTTTATATTTATATCCTTTTACTTTAGTTTTGATATTTATTTATTTTTATCCGAAAGTAATTGTTTTCAATGTCTTTATATATTTTATATTTAATGCTTTCAATTGTATAGAAAAATGTGTATAAAATTTGAAAAGTAAATAATTTAAGAAATCAATTGATGGCAAACACGCGCTGGCAATCAAATGAGTGATCAAATGATAAGATTTATGATTTGATGATATAATGCAAGTGAAGCACAATATATTCAATTGGTTTGCGAAGAGTTATGGAGTAAACAATGGATACAAGTCTTGTCAGACATATGCCGTTGATTGATGTGATCCAACACTTATGTGATGCGCGATTCAGTCTTATCATAAAAATGACGGCAAACATAACCATCTCTTCATATACACAACCACTTCATGTCTATATAATAAGACAACACATGTATTACATTATATCATATTTTGGGTCCAATTTTACCCAATTTGCCAATTTTCTGACTCTTTTCGGCCCAATCCAGGCATCGCTTATTTGATAACATTCTTCTGTATTATAAATATATAACAAATTGTTTTTATAGTAGAAATGATTGAATCTTTACTCTGTTTTCAGTTTGTTTTATACAATCAATGATTTAATTAGATTTCGTAAAAGAGTACACAATCGATGGGTAGCCAAGAGTGTAATCAAATATAACAGTGAAATATGTAAATAATGTGTCAAATGAATTGCAATTGAATAGCAATTACCGTTTTTGTCGTTTTTTGCAGTAATATATTATATTAAATAAAAAGACTATTTGTTTTATGAATGAATTTAATTATGCTTTTATGGAGGCGTTAATAATAGACTCAAATATATCTTTATAATTGTGTGCAAATAAATAGCGAATTAAAACATAAAGATTACAAATAAAATCGTGTTTTTCCACTAAAGTTAATACTTTGTAAAAAAGCAAATAATTGAATAATGTTTTATTTTAATAGAAAACTAAATGAGTTTAATATAGTATTTATGTATTTGTAAAATGGATGCAAAACATAATATTAATGAATCTCTTGGGCTTTGTTTTGGTTCACACGAGAAACAAGAAATTGTGGCGATTTTGTATCGGCCACTCGGGACAGGCATACACGTGAAAACTATATTTTAAATGAACACGTTCATTTCACTTCTAATACTACACTCTATTAGCCATACACTCGCACACATGCAGTACATCCATGTATACATCCCATACCTCCCTTACCTCCCATATCGTACATACATTATATACATAGTGTACGCATCCCTGCTCTCCAACCTCTCCAACAGTTCCTCATTTTTATAGCCCTAACGCATAGAAACACCAGTTTTTCTCCGTTAATGTTTTGCGATAGCCTTTTGAAACCCTATTTTCATTTTCATGGGAATGTTTTGGGCTTTTTTAATACAAATTATGCCTTTCTATCAATACGTAGTCTCTCGAGTAAAAGCTCATCACTGAGTACTGAGAAATGTTTTTTCATCGTTTATTATTCATGTCTAGAGTCAAACACTGTTGGAGCACAGGATTGAGAGAGAGAGAGAGAGAGCACAACTGAACGAATTTTTTTGCCATAAAAAACACAAGAATTTGATGCATCATATGAAAGTATATTAAAAGCTTATGTATAATTGTGCTGAGAAACAATTAAGCCTTAATCTTATTGTAATTTAAACATAGAGAGAGAGAGAGAGAGAGAGAGAGAGAGCAAATGTAATGGTAAGAGTAGTGTTGGTTTGATAGGAGTAATTGAGAGCGAGAGAGAAGAAGAGAGAGAGAGAGGATGAGTGAAAGCCTGAGCCACACAAATGAGCGACAATTTATGCATCAAATTCTTGTGTTTTTTATGGCAAAAAAATTCGTTCAGTTGTGCTCTTTCTCTAGTATAGCACAGAGTGTACTGTATATTGACTTTTATGAACTCATTTTTCCTCTACTTTTCTTCTTTTGATTGCATAAAGAGTCAGTCGTTTAGCGAAAAGTCTATAATTTTTTATGCATTTATTCTATGAATAAAACATGTTTGTTATGTATAATAACTTATTTAATTTTACCCAAAATTCAAATCCACTTTCAGTTCATTTAACAGAGAAGACGAAGAAATGCAGCGATGAATAAATCAATCGATTTTATTATACATTCCGTATATTTAAACATTTGGATGTATAATGAGATCTATTCATTAAAAGCATTTAGTTATTTACAAAATTAATTAATTTATATCATTTGATAATTTTGTCGCCAACTTCTAACTTATTTCCGGATAAATATTTATCTAATCTATTATTATATTTATAATAAGTTTTCATTATTGACTTCTAAACGATTGGTTATATTGGATATTGAGATGCATTTTGCGTAAAAGAAGACCTAATACTAAGTTATTGTCGATTTTGTTGTTCACTGACTATCTCTGGCTATCTCTATATAGGTATGGCCTTTATTTATAAGACAATAGCCGAAAGTGAGTGTACAGTACAGTAGTTGTTGGCTGCAAATCATACTGAATAGCCCTAAACAATAGCGATTGTAATTGAATGATGGTTTGACCTGAACTGCATTCGCGCTCCCATTCTTGCCATTGAATACAAGAGAAATAAAATTGTAATTCAATTTAATATTTGGAGAACATGTGAGCGATAGTGAAAGAGTGCATCATTTGTGCAAATATCAAGATTTGCAACCATTCCTATCATTTGCCCAAACCATTGCTTATAGCACTAAACAGCCATCAGAGATATACCACTGGCCAACAAATAGCCTAATACTAGCCTACACTCTATGAATACATGTATATCTGGCCAAATGGCCCAATGATGCCATTGAATACGAACGACCGCTACGAGTGCACACATACAGCCATCAAGTGCTCAATGAATGTGCCAGAGATGCGCCAATTGCCCCGTCCTTATCGACCAAACACCGAAAGACCACTTCTCTCTCTCTCTCTCAAACTAAATCACTCACATCTGTGTGTGTAATGTGTATACACTATCTCTCATTCTGAACCGAAACCAGTAGTCAGTAATAGAGAATCGTTATTATTATTATTGACTATTTTTTTGATCATCAATTTATTACATTTTAACCAAATTATCGCAAAAACCAAACATTTTGATTGCATACCAATTCTTTTTGTTGCTTATCATTTCGCCTACAATTTTCTAACTAAACATTAAGTATAAGTATAAGTAACTAACATTAGACCCAAAATCTAATTATTCTCTAATTCATCCAAAAACACTGCAAACCAATGGATGGACAGTGCATTTGCACAGCACTGG